TCAGCAGGACTTTTTATAAAGTTAAAAACGATTAACTACAAATATATAAATACACACACATATATTAGAAATACATATAGATTCAATATTACTATACAAAAAGAAAAGAGGGAACGATAATACACAATTCAGGATGATGGCTGCCTTAAGCCAGGGACGTAGAGGGACAGAATGGGAAAAAGGGTTGCAAAGTTAAATGAAGGTTACTGTCAAGTTTTTGAATTAGGGATGGACTCAGAAGTTATTATTACACTACTAAAAATGACAAAATGGGAATTCCAGTTCTGATAATAGTGGAATAGATTGTATTGGACTTACTGTCCCACAAATAGCAATACAAAACACTGGATGACATATAAAACAATTTTAAAGAAATTGGAGAGTGACCAAAAGCAGGTAGAAACTATGAGGAATTCAGCTCTTGAGTAAAGGGAACCACAACGAGTGAGATTCACATTTATACATCTTTTCACTTGTGGGCACTCCCCCGTCCACATGATGCAGAGTGGTTAGGGCTTACGAAAAAAAATCACAGTCTTAATGGCTCGTTGGATAAAAGGGGGTAAAGTTCTTACCTTATGCACAAAGGTGTTTAATACTAATTCATAGCAGGCTGTGATAAGAATATATAATATAATCCATTAAAACTATAAAATAAAAAGACAAAGTAAAAAGCCAGTTGAGTTGATGAAATAGACTACTAATAAAATCCTCATTTAATCCAAAAGAAGGCAGTAAGGTGGAACAATGAAGAGACGGGAGAAAAAGAAATCAAATGGCGAATGGTAGGTAAACTCAATCATATAATTTATCATTACATTAAATATAAATGAAATAAACATTAATAAAAGCCAGAGATTTTCAGACTGGTTAAATCCAAAGACACAGTAAGTCTGGGAAAGGAGGAGTGGCTATATTAATATAAGAAAAATGACTTCCAATCGAGAAGTATTACTAGAAAGAAAGAGGGGTATTTTATAATGATAAGAGTCAATTCATCAGGAAGTCCTAACAATGACAAATGTTTTTGCAACTAATAACAGAGCTTCAAATGACATGAGGCAAAATCTGACACAATTAAGGGAGAATTACACAAATTCTGTCCATTTATATTTAACGTAATTGTTGATATGGTTGGATTTAAGTCTACTGCCCTGCCATTTTTTTTTTCTGTTTGTCCCATCTTTCATTTGTTCCTCCTTTTCAACCTTCTTTTAGAATGACAGACAAGGTAGGAAAAAATTCAGATAATAATATAGATGTTAGCAACACTATCAACCGTCTTGACCTAATTGAATTTATAGAACAAAACATCCAAATGCAGGGACTTCCCCAGTGGTCCAGTGGTTAAGAATCCGCCTTCCAATGCAGGGGACGCGGGTTCGATCCCTGGTTGGGGAACTAAGATCCCACATGACGCAGAGCAACTAAGCCCACGTTCTAGAGCCTGCAAGCCACAACTAGAGAGAAGCCCGCGCGCTGCAACTAAGACCCAACGCAGCTAAATAAATAAACAAATATTAAAAAAAAAAATCCAAATGCAGAACATACATTCTTTTCAATCCACTTGTTATATTCACCAGGACAGGCCATGCATGTATGCAAGGTCACAAAGTAAGTCTCAATAAATTCAAAATGGGCATTAAAGGACTATACAGAAGAGTAAGAACAGCAACCTGAATTGGTAAAGCACTAATGCTAAGAATAGAGCGTCCATATTTATTAAAAGTCTGACTTGCCCATGGCTTAAGCTACTTTAGAGGCAGCCTCACTTCGTGAGCATCTGTGTTAATAAGGCAATGTCAATTTTCATGCCTGGGTCAAAGTATTTTTAAAGGCTAAATAAAAGGGTTCAGAAAATCCCATGCTCTATAAAGATTTTCCTATATCCTCAGAAACATTTCTGAGAGGAAGATTCCCCTGGGCATTCTCACATACTTAATATTGATACAATGGAATATTACTCTAATACAATGGAATAGTGCTCCAAAATGAAAAAGACTGATACATATAATATTATGTTGAGCCAAAGAAGTCAGACATAAATGACTACGGTACTATGTGATTCCTTTCATGTGAAATCCAAAAATAGGTAAACTATGGTGACAGAAAGTAG